TCACAGACATTGTCCAGAAGCTTGAATTTTTTGGTTCAGAGCTCCGAAAGCTAGTCAATTATTTATAATACATTCAAAAATTGAGCTGGGCATTTCCAGACTACTGAACCGCGAAAATCTTTTTTCTTATACTGCCATACATTGTAATTCATACACCTTCCTAGCACTTTCGGAGCTTTAAACCAAAAAATTCAAGCGTACAAACAATGTTTGTAATGTACGACAGTATAGGAAAAAAGATTTTCGCAGTTTAGTAGTTTGGAAATGCCCAGCTCAATTTTTGAATATATTATAAATAATTGACTAGCTTTCGGAGCTTTGAACCAAAAAATTCAAGCGTGCTAACAATATATATATAATTATAACAAACTATGCGATATGATACGCCCTAGAATTTTTCATACCTCTAATTTTTGAGTATAGAGGACCCTCCGACTGCAATGGCAGTTTGTCGAGTCCATTAAAAACATATCTTGTAACACGTGAATAATAAGCATTGTGAAAAATTATTGTAAGACTTTATTGAATAAAATTGTTTTTCATAAATAACAATTCTCGCGAATCTTACACTTTCATTAGAATTTTCACTACAAGCAAATCCTTCATAAAACTGTCATTCTCCTCGTATATAGTTATACATACACCTCAATGCTTGTAACACCTGAAGTATTCTATCCACAAGAAGACTTTACTACTCTACTTGAAAGTTTTCCTAAAAAACATGCTTAAACTATATTCATGTGAATCTTTAAAGATGTCGATCATCTTTTACACCGATGGTTCTAAGATTGAAGAGCTATCGACTGTGGGGAGCGGCATGTTATTCCCTTCAATTAAATCTTGAACTAATAGATAAACTTCCGCAATACACCTCTGTCTTTTGTGCAGAGGCGTGGACCATATACAACGTAATAATATCCTTGAAAACCTTTGTAAGCGACGCAGTCATAGTCACGGACTCGAAGAGCATTCTGCAGGCTCTTCAGAGCGCAGGCTCATATAAAAATAATTATCTCATTCCTTTAATTAAAGCTACACTGGAGGCAGCGCAGAATGGCGTAATCCGCGTCCGTTTTATTTAGGTGCCCTCTCACAAGGGCATCCTAGGCAATGAGCAATGAGTTGGCGAAGAAAGCTACAACAGAGGGCAGAACTAATTTCAAGGTTTCCCTCTCTGAACTTTTTACGATCCCCGCTCCAAACTAGATACAAATTTGGACGTATACTCGATTACTGGGCAAACGTCAAGGGAGTTCAATATTTCCAGAAAATTTATTGTAAAATGAAGACTAAACTAACACTCAGTTTCCTGTCTTATCACACAGTTTCTCCCCCGAGAGCAAGTACCTCAGCTAACAAGATTCTGGCCGGCTTACCCCCGATTGGAAGCAGGTGCCAATCGAAAAAAAGAAGATAAAGCTTCAAAAGTAAAAGTATTAGAAAAGTATCAAGAAATAAGAGATTGTTCAAATAACAAGATCATTAAGTAATATTAGAATATCGGTTGCAATTAGAAAATCAATAATTACAAGACTTGTATTAAACGATAAGCCAACATTTTATAAAGGCAATTGATAAAGGTTGCTGGTTTTGTTGAATTTATTTATTTATACATTTGTTAACTTGATCATTTCTTTTTAATGACGGTGCACGTATGTATGTATATGTGTATGCGTGTACGTGCGTGCATGCGTTGTGTGTGTGTGTGTGTGTGTGTATGTGTGTGTGTGTGTGTGTGTGTGTGGTGCGGCTCGTACCTCCTTTCTTAATAAGGCGCGACTCAATTCCGAGCCAAGTTTCGCGGATTTCGTCTAATCTAATCGCATTATAGACTTAAACTCGTATTATTCGTGAATGAGAAAACGAAACGGGATCTAAATGACTTAATAATTAGTCACGTCGCACTAATTACGGTAACAAAAGATCCAGCAGCTTGATAGCTTCAGATTACTTGAAAAACGCTAAAGGGTTTACTTGACTTAATGCCGAGTGGAGTTCTAATTCTAGTAATCTGTGCTT